AAAAAACCCCCCCCCCCCCCCCCCGAATCTGCACAAGCGACCTGTTCCTTTCATTAGTCTTACGAACGACTCCTTTGTAGCGGATCGCGTTAGCGGGAACCCGGCACATGAAAACAATTTGCGCGCGACTTTTCCGATAGGCCCCGTCGAGCGAGACGGATGCTGTAAATTAAGATACGGTTTTATGATGTTTATCTGACGCCTCGTGCCATGGAACAGCAAGGAACCAGCGGCAAGAGCTCTACCGCGCGGCCGCTCTGGCTAAACGCGATTAGGATCGGGCCAGGATACTGAGCTGCAGCTAAACCTTCTTCTAATCGCAGAATCAGAGGATAGCAGGGTTTTTTTGAGAGGGAAATTTCACATACTCCTCCAGATCACACATGACTACACTAGACAAGCATCTAATGTGCCATTGTGTGTTAATTAAATCTGTATCACTGAATGCTACACACATTAGCGACGGCTAATACAATTATATCATCGTGCTACACACATTAGCGATGGCTAATGGAGACACACAAGGGCCGCCCAGCCTGTTAATGTATATCATTACATTTGATCATAATCACACAAAGTACACATAAATACAGGCCGGCAAAGCAGACTTGGAAGCTGTGACCATAGATATAATGTACTGGCTGACAACAGCATCCAATAACCCTCACAGGTCCTACCAGGAACCGAAGAAACTTTAGTGATGTGTTCTGCAAGGTTTTTTAAACTCCTTTCAAGATTTCACTATAGTTTCTGGAGTTCATCTGTGGAAATGTGAAACTTTTCACACAGTATTTCTGACACAGGTGGCCTGCGGTCATTTCAAACAGAGTGATGATCAGAAAAACGGCTCCCCGGATGAGTGACAGAGTGCCGCTAATGCGTTTTCCAATAGCAGAGAGGTTCTGCTCCCACGGTTCGAGCATCTGGCTCTTCAGAACTTCTCTGGCTCATGGATGTGAGAACTTGTCCTGGGCCGCCTGGAATCATGCCTTTAACGATGCTGGGCTGATGTTGACATGAGCCTAAAACACATGGTATTTCGCTGCTGTTTAATCACTGATTTTTTCCCAGACTGCCTTAAGGTATCATTACCAGTCCAGGTCACTGTAGGGGTCCTGTGGGCTTAGCAGCCCTGTGGAGAAAACCTCCTGACCCACTGCGGCATCTGGAGCTTCATCAGAGTCGGCACAGAGTAGCATCTCTTTATGTAAAAGGTGGACAGCACTGGTACTCTTACTGCTGGTCACCAGATCAGCGGTCTTGGGCTGGGACCTCAATCCCCAGCCGTCATTCTGAGGATCCAAGACGCCAGATGAAAACGACCAGGCCTTTTCAGAGAAGCCAGATGCTCCATCCCCTAGAGACTGCTCTGGAGTCTCCAAATTGGGAGAGGAGAACACTGGCAGCTTACCAGTACTGCCACAGACGAAGGGGATGACGGCACGTCGATCCCAGATTCCTGGATCTTGCGAATCCGGCCCGGCCGATGGGAATGCTGGATGAGAGTGACTGAGAAGGAGCTTGGTGATAAGACGGACCGCAGCCTAGCAAGTTAGCGGGCGTGCGGATGATCAGGGAGAGAGGTAGGAAGTGAGCGAGAGAGTGGCGACTTGGTGAAACGGCCGACATGAGCTCACAGCCGCTATAGCGAAGAATAACCAGCTACTGTTTAACTTGATATTCCGGTTGCTTAGCGATGTAAGTCCGGTGATCAGTGATGGCAGCCCTCCTAAACTCAGCCATTTACAGTAAACAGTCAACAAACGGCTTCAAAGCTCCCAGCCATAATCCAAAAGGCTTGCTGTAATGACTGTGAAAAGACTGAGTTAATCCAGTGCTGACTCAACTCATCCCCGCCTCAGCGCGACCGGCGTCCCCGGTGGACGACGTGAAGGCCGCCGCCTTCGCCCACGGTTCGAGGGCAGAGCCGCACATGCCTCACCGCGCACAGCACCAGCCAGGGTGCTGGGTACGAGCATCTTTATCTGCTAAATTAGCAACACTAGACATCTTTCATTTGGCCTACATCATGTAACGAAATATGTACCGGACCTAGGGTAACAGAACCACAGTAATGGACCAGGTGTGACAGACCCAGTGGTACCGTACTGGCTCTCTGAAGTCCCCATCTGTGCACTCAAGTGGAAAAAATGTGACCTTTATTTCTATACTTTTTTCCTAAATTTTGCTCTACCTTGAGCAAACGTTTCTAAATTTAGCAGTTTAAGATGGAAGCGTAATTTACTGTGAACCCTTATATAAGCCTTATGTACCCAATCATTCACGGCTTTTTCCTACGCTTCACCGAGCGTAAGCAGGAGCCACCAAATTCCAATATCTTCTGTATTTCCGTAAATAATGTGCATTCCTATTTAACGGTACATTTCTAGTGCAAATTATCTTTTCAGTGCATAAACACTCTTTTAATATTGCAATGTTTTTGTGGTTTTTAAAAACGCTTCATTACTGATTTTCCAGGTAACCTGTTAAATAGGGGATTTACGGTAAAAATATACACGAATGTGGCATTACAACATTCTATGTAATATGTCATGCGTGGTTCATGGTAGCTTTCGTATAGTTGTTACTGCACAGATTTCATTCTGTTTTTTTTCATTCAACCCCCCCCCCTTTGGACTGGAAAATCCCCCCATTTGCATGCACTCTAGGGGCGGCTCGTCCATCACGAGACACACAGAACACTGTTCCTACGCTGAAACCAGCTCTGCCATGGATGAGAAGGTGAAGGGTCGTCCCAGTGCCCAGAGCAGCTCTCTGCCTGATCCCTGCTGTTCCTGAACAGCATGGGGTTTAACTATCCGTATCTCGTCTGGTCAGTGCTATTAAATCCTCAGTCAGATGGATCTTAACTGCAGCTGACCTAAACTTGGATTAAATCCACAGCTTGCAAACTCTGACTCCAACTATAACAGAAGTTTACAAGCTCTGTAGACTTATTTGACCCAAAGTCAGAGAAGACAGAGAGGAAGAAGAAACCCTAAAGCCTATTAAGACCTACTAGCCTAATAAATAGCAAATAATAGCAAATGGTGAGGACAAATAATGTAAATATATTTGCTATTCATTATTTATTGATATATGTTGTCTGAAGGGAGGTACTGAAGCAGGTCTTTCATTGTACTTGTACAA